AGGGAACGGAGCGAGGCCAGTGGAGTAATTGATAATGAGCGACACCTGCACCACTCACCGGTCTCGAGTCCCACGGAGGAGCTCCGGAAGGATAAAAGGAGGAGTGACAACAGTGAAAGACGAGAGAGGACCAGACCTGGATTTTATTTTGTGTTTTGGTTCTGTTTGTGCGCAACAGTCGTCCGCGAGGGGCTGCCGCTTTACTTTCATTTTGTGTTTGTTTATTTTATTAAAGTTTTAAATGTTCGCCGGTTCCCGCCACCTTCTTCCCGACCTACGAACGTTGTTACAGTTAGACATATGGCTTTGATTTTATAGCAATTTTAGAGTGCAACATATTTGATAAAATATTTATTTTATATCAAATAAAATAAAAACTAGTATACTACATTATCTTTACTGTAAACTTAAACTTCTATAACTTTTTTATACTTTCTTTTTTTTTTTTTTTTGAGTCCCAATAATTTTTTGAGTCCCAATAAGATGGAAAATAGAAATGAATAAATTTTCTGATGTCTCTTTATGGTTTTGCCCTTTTTAGGGTTAAGATTTCACTCGGCGGCATGAATGGGGAAACATAAAATTCTCCAAAACTGTTCACCAAGCTTACGATTAAATTTCAAATTTTAAATCACCAATGAAATTTGACAACAACTGTCCCATAAACGTTGTTTCTTATGCTCAAATAGTGTTAAAATAGGCTTATTTTTTCAGGCTAGAGCAGCGCATCTCAGAACGCTGAGTGTTGCTATAGCAACCAGAGCTTCAAACGGCAGCTGCAGTGACGAGATGACTTTTTTATTGAGAAGGCGGGACTATTCTGCCACGTCTTTGTATATCTTAAGTCTTTGACGGAAAGCACATACTCTCTTTCTCCTGCTCTCTCTCCCATACAAACATGCACACACATCCAGTACGGACACACACTCACAAACATTGAAAGATACTTGCACACAAAAACGTGTTTAACTCTACTCTGACAATTTTATCAGTAAAATAGTTTGGCAACTACACCACCTTGGGTGTGCATTATTTTCTAATAACAGCCCTTCATCAATTATTCCTTATATAATGACCGATTCATATTAATGAGATTTCAATTTAAATTTAAATTTGGGCCTGTTCTTCTTATAATTGGAATATATATGTTTTCATACTTTTATAATACTTGCACGACAGCCGCTGGTCTCTGTCTACTTTCACTGTATGAAAAAAAGCATGTTTGAAATTCTCCAAAAAAACTATTTTTGTGTTCCACAGAAGAAAATGAATTAAAATCCATTCGGAACAACACAGAGGTGAATAAATGATGACAGATCTTTCACTTCTGGGCCAAATATTTCTTGTTACTATGGACTGGTGCAGTTTTAGCAGCTCTGAGGTGTCTGTGTGGTCCTCTCTGGTTCAGCTTATAATGGAAAATCATAATCTCCACTATCATGACGCTAGAGATCAAATGCAGCAGGTCCTCGTCTCAGACTCAGAAATACTAGCTTTCTGCAAAATATATATAGTACTTTTAAGAAACTTCACTAAATTGCAATGAAACTGAAGTAGTTATATTGCCTGTGTCCAGTGTTTTTTACAGCCTCATCTTATACAGTGTTGGGTAGGTTACTCTAAAATAGTAACTAATTACTAGCAACTAACTGCATCTTCAACAGTGTAATTAGAGTACTGTACTAATTACTCACTCTAAAAAGTATTACATTACTTATTAATAATTACTTTCTAAATCCCATATATACCTTGACCAGTTGATCAATACTAGACCTGAAACTGCTCTTTTAATTCAATCAAATAAATAATATAAAATTGCATAAATTATTCTTGAACGGACCAAGGTATTTTAAGGGAGAAGTTTAAATTAAAAACTATTTTTTTTCACATTAGACACTAAATTTTGATGATAAATCCACTATTGTTTTATATTAAATTGTTCTGTAGTCATGGATACAGTATTTAATGCAATTACATCAGAAGTAACTGTAATTAAATTTCAGAAAAATGAAGAGTAATCTCTTACTTTGTCAAGGGAAAATTAATTATATATATATATTGCAGTAATTAATTACTTAGTAATGCATTACATTCAACACACTTGCATTTGTCACACTTGCAATGGAAGGTCTAATCAAGTGCATTGCATTGTGGGATACAGTATCCCCCACAGTGTGCTCTGTTTGCATATTGGACATTTTGCCAAATGCAGTAGGTCATCTCCATGTGCACTTGACGTACACTTCTGTTCAAAAGTTTGGGATCAGCAAGAGATTTGTTTGAAATAAATTACTTTTATTCCAGGATTCATTCAATAAAAAAAGTCTCAGAGAATCTACAGAGCCAGTAGGACACATTCACTGCTCTTATCTATGCAGCCAGAGACCATGAACGGGGAACAAAAGCAGAGGAGAGTCCATAAAAGACCTCCACTTGGGTCGGTTTGGTTCAGGAATCAGGCCAGCTGGACAATCACACTGGAAATGATGGACATTTCCAAGGACGTTTTACGTGGTTGCTATAGCGTTGCTAGGTGTTTGCTACGCAGTTGTTAGGGTGATTTAGGTGGTTGCTATGCCATTGCTAGAGTTTTCTTGGTGGTTGCTATGCTGTTGTTAAGGAGTTTTAGGTGGTTGCTATGGCGTTGTTAAGATGTTGTGGGTGGCTGTTGTGGTTGTTAGGGTGTTTTGGGTGGTTGCTATAGCGTTGCTAGTATGTTCAGGGTGGTTTCAAGGTGGTTACTACGCAATTGTTAGGGTGATTTAGGTGGTTGTTATGGCATTGTTAGGGTGTCCTAATCAGTTACTATGCAGTTGTTAGGAAGTTTTAGGTGGTTGCTATGGCATTGCTAAGATTTTCTATGTGGTTGCTATGTAGTAGTTATTATGTTTTAGACAGTTGCTATGGCGTTGCTAAACTGAGATCAATCTTGCAAAGCTTCTTTTGTCCATACAACAATGATGTGGTTGCTAGGGTGTTCTAAGGAATTACTAGGTGGTTGCTAACATCTTTTGGGCAGTTGCTTGTTGGTTGCTAGGGGGTTCTGGATGGTTATGCATTTTAGACAGTTGCTATGTTGTTGCTAAGCTGTGCTCGCTCTTACAAAACTTGACGCGTTGATGCAACAAAGATATGGTTTCTAAGATGGTTATAGTTGCTAAGGTCTTTCGGACAGTTGCTGTTGTTTGGGAGTTTTAGGTTTCCATGGTGTTGCTAAGATGTTTTTGGAGATTGCTCTGCGGTTGTTAGTGTTTTAGGCAGTTGCTATGGTGTTGCTAGGATGATCAGGGTGGTTGCACTTTTATCATCCACCAGGCAGAAATCTTAAAGGTGTACTGTAGTATGTAATATTGACAGTTAGGGGTTGAAATGGGTACTGCAGTCCAAATTCAAAATACTGGAGAGAGTTGTTTCTTCTACTATTTCTCCTCAGATTCATTGCTCATGTGGGTTGCCAGATTGCGGACACGCAATAGGAACAAGTGCAATTGACAATGAAAGGCGACGAGCCTTACACTAAGTTAATGAGATGATGTATCTGCATTTTAATATTCCTTTGATCATAGAGCTTTCTAGATGGATTCCGGGGATTTTTAGGTCGAGTAGAACCCAATTCTGACCCAGTCTGTTTGCTGGCTTCCATGACTGCAATACAATGTGTTTTCCACCAACTGGCAACCCAGGGTGTTAAAATCCTATTGGTTAAATTGGCAGTGGGCGGCATCACACGGACCAAATCAAAAACAGACATTCTGAAACAGAACACACGTTTCAAAGTAGAATAACTGACTGTAGCAGTATGTTTCCTAAATATCTGCAAACATATTATGGTATCTTTATGCTTCAGCACAGTCACAAAAAAAAGACATACAGCACCATTAAATCTGACTGCTTAGAAAAGTAAAAGCACACCTCTCCTCAACAAGCCAACAAGCAATTCAAGGATGCATTCACGTCTGTAGCATGAATGATTGATACTTCATTTAAAAACCTTACCCTGAGCATGAGCAACAGTAATTAATAGTGGCGTTTGCAATTAAGTGCAGCAACTGTGGTACTTTGGCTAAACCTATGGTACATTTTGAAAGGACAGGCTCTAGATTGTAGACTGACATTTAGTAAATGCTGAGAAATATTCAGTTCAGGGGGATTTATGGAAGATTTATTCGTTTCATTGGATGAAACTCTCTGAAAAGTCTGAATAAGCTCCCAAGGGCGGTGGAAGATTAGCGCACAATAGACAATGGATAATGAGTGCACACTTTCTGGGTTGAAGAACTGCTCACCTTGTACTGAGTCGGCCTCGGGCGGCTCATTTCCTCTTTGCTGGGGAGGAAAAGCCGGCGTGGTGCAATAGAGCCGAAGGCACCCTTCCTTGTGCTCTCCAGACAGGCTTTCTTCAAACTCTCATAAGCCAGGCCATACTCAAACACATTAGATGACTTAGGCTTCAAAATTCATAGTTGTGTTCATTTGTGAAGATTATCATGATCAACAACACATGCAAGATTCATAAACTTTTGTTGACACAGAGTTTATTTTCCACAATAATCCAAAAGCCAATCGAAAAATCCTACTGGGTTTTGTCGAGGGAACCAGGGTGATACTAATTTCCGGGTTGGCCTACAAAAATACACTGCAGTGCTCTATTGCCTCAAACAAAACAATCAATTTTTAAAAAATGGCAAAATCATTAAAATGGCAAATCCCATGACTAGGTTTTCCTCAAAAGCTTATCATATCAACCCAGTATCTTGTAAGTGTGACTTACTCCCATATTTTGAGGAAAAGTTAGTTAGTTTAATAGATAAAGGAAGTGCTTTTGAGTGCAGCGTTCATCAGACGGCCAGCAAACAGACTGCGTTGGTCTGTGGGTGTGCCGTCTGTAAAATTTATTCTGAAGCATCTGCACATGGCAAACCAAGTCCAGATGCTTCCGAATACATTTTGCAACACAATGCAAATGCTGTTGTGTTGCAGCTGAGAACATATGCATCAGTCATACTCACTCTTGTTGATCATACTGTCCTGGCCCAGGTCTGTCTCCACCCTTTACCTGCTCTCTCCGTCCTGACATCTTCCCGAAATGCACACCTTGATACTTCTGAGAGGACGACAGCTCCTGCTGCAAAATGGCAAAAACAAAGATATTTTTCAATATATATTTTTGTAATTTCAATCCTTTCACCTTGAATTTTTGTTCCTAAGCTCAATTCTCACTTATCAGCACTTTCATCAGACATAATAATACAGACTTATGCTTTAAATTAAAAAATACTTTAACTTTCTTTAATACTTTCAAAGTTCACTAAGACAATTTAATGTACTGAAACTAAACTGCAAAAAAAAAAAACTCATCATTCAGGAAATATCATGATTAGATGATCACAACTCTCAGTACATTAAAAGGAAAACTTCGGCGTGTCTGCTAAATTTATATTTGAAATATATAAAATCTTGTTATTTGAATGAGGTTGACACCACCTCAAAAAATATAATATTAGCACATTATCAATATTAATATAAAATGATTCATATAATTATTTTACCAACTTAACATTATTTTTATTCTTTATACATTAAAACACACACACTTTTTTTCTTACTTTTGATTTTTTTTCTAGTATATTTCAAAACCTTATTTCACTTTGAACTGTTACGCTTTAGAAATTACTTTTGAAATTATTTTCAAATTGTCATTAATTTGGGGGGTTTGTCAGATTTCATAAGTAAAAAAAAACAGCTAACCATTTTTATAGTATATTTCATAACCTGATGTCTATGTAAAATTTTAGAAATTATATATGGATTATATATTATTTAAAGACAAAACTGATTTATATCAATATATTAAAGACAGAATTGATTTAGATATTTATTATAGTTTATTTATATTTGACTATTTATACAATTTATTTATATTTACTATACAATATTGAGTATTAGCCATAATAGATGGTTATTTGTCATCAGAAATCGTGAACTTTACAGGCCAAATTTTCAATGTCAGTGCATTCATAATGAAACCTTGATGAAAATGGTCAATTAACCTTGATGAAGCACGTTGAGCTGCATGTTTCATGTACACTATGGCTCAGTAGGTTTTGGATCAGAGATAAGTAGTCTTCAGTGAAACAACAAAGTGCTACAAAAGTGTAGAATATGACCATTTTACAAAAAGGACTTTAAATGGGTGGAATATGTGTAATCAACAAGAAAACCTGAGACGGGAGAGAGAAACAGAGCTGCACCATGATGGATGGCCCTGCACTTTGATAAAGAGTTCTTCCCCCTCTAGAGGAAGTTGGAAGCTCAATGGCAAATGAAAGATGATTTGATTAAAGCTGAGTCCAGCATCTGCTGCATTATTGTAAGTGAATATTGAAATATAACGTAAAGAATAATTACCCAGGGTTTTCAGTCCTGACAGTAAAATGGATGAGTGCTGTGCTTTGTGACTTTTTAAAATAATGCAGCGATCATTAGTAATGGAAATAGGCCCGGCACTAATGATGCAGAGCAGAGGGGCATTAGACGCTCTTCTGTTAATGGACACATCTGACCTCACACACACACACACACACACACACACACACACACACACACACCAACTAACTCAAGCATGCACACTCAAAGCACTCCATTAGACGTGTATCTTTTTCACTGAGTGCACATCCATTTACACACACAGCTCGTAATCTGTCTGACCGGTACGGGACTGTAGAAGGCCGGGCCGAGGGTCTGGTCTCTGGTGGGGGGTTTGTGTCAGTGCAGGACACCTTGAGCATCCTCTTCATATCCGAATGCCTGTCCGGGAGATGGGATGGCCGGAGCATCAGGATTTAGCAGCAACCTCGCCACTTTAGAGACTAAAGACATCAAGATGACATATAATCAAATAAGTCTTTTCCATATATAGCTCCTTCTGATTGGAATAAGCTTCTTCAGTCTTTGAGATCTTCTACTTCCTTTTGTTTTTACGCTATCTCTATTTTCTTATCTTAAAATAGTTTGTGTATGTTTCTAAGTTTTCTTATGTTGATTCTGCATATGTATGATGCTGATTGTTTTGTAATCATGCTGTGGGAGTGGGGGACTGGTTGAGCGTGTCTCTTGTTTTTGTATATTTGTGTGTGTACATATGGTTGTTTTGTTTTTGTTGTAATACTTTGTTTTTGTGTTTATAGGAGCCCCTTGAAAATTAGATGTTACATCTCAAGGGGCTATCCTTTCAATAAATTCCAATTCAAATATACATATATCAAACCATTAACAGAGAGAGATTCATTACAGCTGCAGGAAAAAGTACGTGAACCCTTTGGGTTTACCTGGATATATGCATTAAAGGGATAGTTCACCCAAAAATGAAAATTTGATGTTTATCTGCTTACCCCCAGGGCATCCAAGATGTAGGTGACTTTGTTTCTTCAGTAGAACACAAACGAAGATTTTTAACTCCAGCCGTTGCAGTCTATCAGTCGTATAATGCATGGCAATGGTAACAAAATCTATGAGAGTAAAAAAAACATGCACAGACAAATCCAAATTAAACCCTGCGGCTCGTGACGCCACCTTGATGTCCTAAGACACGAAACGATCGGTTTGTGCGAGAAACCGAACAGTATTTATATCATATTTTACCTCTAATACACCACTATGTCCAACTGCTTTGAGCGCGCGCACGGCATCCGGTGCGTGAGGTGTGTACGCGCTCTGGCGTAGTTTAAATAAATGGGTGTGTTGATATCCAGCCAAAGAGCAATCAACCATAACTTCAGGCGAGCAGGCTCAGAAGTTGGGAATACGTAGAAAGTCACCACTCCCGAATGAGTTCGCACGAGAGAAAGTCAAGGCAATGGCAAGGCAAGGCAATGGCAAGGCAAGTTTATTTATATAGCACATTTCATACACAATGGTAATTCAAAGTGCTTTACATAAAAGAAATGAACAAATTATCAAAAAAATAATCACAACAATAAAACAAGGAATTTAAAACTATGAAAATGATTTAAAAATTGATTTAAGAGGTTTAAAATGAATTTAAAACAGTTAAGAATAGAAAATGATTATACATAAAATATAGTGCAATCAGTTCGGACATTGCACAGTGCTCATTCAGTAAATGCACAGCTAAACAGATGAGTTTTGAGTCTGCATTTAAATGTGACTAATGTTTTAGCACATCTGATCTCTTCTGGAAGCTGATTCCAACTGCGGGCGGCATAATAACTAAAAGCACTCAGCTGATCCCCATCTACCTATGGGAATACGACACCTATCTAAGCATTCATATATAAGGTCCCTCAGTATTATCCGCAGTTTTCGCATTGCTCAATAGCTAATTACCCTCCTCCATCCCCAACTCCTCCTCTGTCAGTCGGGATTCAGCCTTCTGATTCTCCTTGAATCAGACTAATTCTAAAATGTGTACATAAAATGATTGAACTTAACAATATCTGCAATACATTTATGTTAGTTCTGTTCTGTTTACCCTGGGGAGTTATTGCTCCTCTCCCTGCTCTCATCCATGCTAGGCTGCATGGAGGCGCAGGGAGTTCTTGCCCAGAACAGAACCATACCGCCACTCCAAACTGTATGCTAACTGTCAATCATCTTTGACGATAGTGGTCCTGACAGAAATATGTGGGAAGTGTGTCAAGATAGCAGGTTGACGATTTAAGGTGCTGTACTATTTCTTCCAAAATTTTGCTATCAATTTCTTCAAACACAGACATAGTACCTTCTTTTTGGTATTGTGGCTGAATCTATCTGACCGCTGCATAATTTGGGGATGTGCTAATCGCCTTCCTGATATTATTGATCTTCTCAGAAAAGAAGGAAGCAAACTCATTGCATTTGCTGTTGGAGAGCATTTCACTGGCAATCTGACTTGGGGGGTTTGTCAGTCTCTCAACAGTAGCAAAAATAATGTGATTTTTAGTTGATATCTGGGGGCTTGCAGCAAAAGAGTGGGAGAGTTTGGTCCCAGCATACCTCTATTTTCTGTGAGAAGCTTAAAAGTGGAGATGCTGGAGAGAGGGATAATGTGTCTGGTGAGATGGGCTTCAAGATGTATAGGAGGTGGTAGAATACCAGTATTCACAAGTCTTGTCATAGCCACATCTGGGGTAGAGGATGCTACAGCAGCAATACGAGAAACTCGTGACAATATGATGTCTCTATTGCCTTTGGGTCTCGCTCCCTGTTTGTGCCATCGATTAGTGTGACAATCAGTTTAGGCTTGTTCCTCTACACTTGGTATAAACCATTGAGATTGACTAGATTCATGGGACTCACAGGCTGAGGGGGTCCGTGACGACGGTCTGCTGAGTGTTCTGCCTGTTTTGGAAGTCCAGCAAGTAACTTTGTTTCAAGAACCGCAATCCTTTGTAGAAGTTTGTGGCAGTTTATGCAGCAAGTAGATTCAACAGGAGGCATTTTATTTCTCTTCTATTTGAATGTAGACAGCTGTGTTTTCCAGTCTCCGGAATGTAAGCTGCTGGCAGTGGGAGGCAAAGTCTTCTTTTTTGTGGTATTATTCCAGTCCCAAAGAGATTTTAGTTTTAGTGTTTGTGCCAAAAATGTGTTGTTTGAGCACTGTGCTGATCTGCTGAAGTAAAAATCAGAGAAAAATCAGAGAAAAGTACAGAAATAGGAAGCAAAGCGCAGAGCAGTAAGCAAGAACGTCCGAACGGTAGCGAAGTCGGAAGCGAAGGCGGCTTCCGGCTTCAAAAGTAATCTTTTAGTTTTAAGTCGGTTTGAACAATCCGGATAAGCGCAAGTAAGTACCATTTTGATTAGTCGTTGTACCTACAATGACTGTGCACTGTGTAAACAATGAGCGAGAGATCACTTCCGGCGCTTGCGTAAACTACGCCAGAGCACGTACACACCTCATGCACCGGATGCCGTGTGCGCGCTCAAAGCAGTTGGACATAGTGGTGTATTAGAGGTAAAATATGATATAAATACTGTTTGGTTTCTCGCACAAACCGATCGTTTAGGAGTCGCAGGGTTTAATTTGGATTTGTCTGTGCATGTTTTTTTTACTCTCATAGATTTTGTTTTCCATTTCCA